AAGAGGCGCGAGTGAGAGAAAAGAAAGTTTTCTCCCAAAATTCAAAACGGCCATGCCACGTGTCAACCTAAGGGCACGCCTGACAACACAATTAATTGCAAGACCATCATTACATAACCGTCATTTCCCTTAACGCGCCACTTGCACATTTTCGGGAAATGAACAGTCGCGACACGTGGCACCACAACGAGCAGACGTACGCGAAAGGTCACCTCCCCCAAGCGAGCTCGGTCTTAACTCCTCGACCTACGGTCTTCGGAGCTCGGGGGGCTAGTGTACTATCCGTATTGCGAAGCCGAGCTCCGAGCTTGGCACCACAACGCAAGCCGGCCTCAGACGCGCACCGCGTGGCATCAACTTGACATTTAAGTGAATCATAACTGATCCCCGAGGATCTCGCCCCAGACGAGGTCCGTTATCTAATCATATTACATCTTCTCTTAGGCCCAAGGCCCAAAGCAACCCTAAGTCACACCAAGGTACGTGCATTACATATACGAGACATATACTCATACAAACTCTAACTTTAGCATCGGAGTCTCTTTTGCAGGTACCACCCCCATCTTGGAGCACTAGCGTACCAGTGAAGGAGGTTCACCGATCTTATCTAGCGGATCAACTCTACAACAGATTTCTGGTAAGAACAGAATCAAATTTAAAATTAGGATGATCATTCTTTCTCTACATTAAATAGAAATAAAAAAGAATAACTTTTTCATCAATTTTATGTGATTCTTATTTGAATATGAATTTCGGATGTTCATCCAAATATGCTCTTAACTTTTAATAAAATGATAGATAGATTTCTAAATAATATAATTTTTCACTTTTGTTCTTTTTAATCTTTCTAGGTTTTAATATATACAAAATAATCTTTTCAATTATTTATATCACTAAAATGGGAAGCCGACTGGGTCTCTTATTAAAAACTTATTTTTTGTTTAATTTTAAATACTCAAAATTCAAATCGAGAATCTGCTAAATTAAAACAAAGGTCAGTTTGGGATGGCATTAATTAAGTTTCTAGTTTTCAAATTTTATTTTAAAAAAACGTGTTCAGATAAAAAAGTTTCAAAATGATTTTGAGATTGATGTCAAAATCATGATAATTGTTTTTTTTTCTTCTTATTTTGAGTTGTAAAACCAGGTCAGTTGAACTAGTTATGCCAAAATCATACCCATCGACCTGTGATAAGTCAGGTTGGGCTCATTTCTTGTTAGTTGATTAGAAGGTAAACCGGATTAGATTGATCCACTTATTGGCCAATCCGTGATAGCATAGGTCAGGTGACCTGTTTTGATAACTCTATCTATCATACAATTTATAAAAGTTTAAATTATATTTTTGGATTCTTTATCTTATTTTTTAATTCAACTTGATTTTTTATCTTTAAAATTTTTATTTTGATCATTTATCTCCTAATTTGAGTCAATTTGATCATGTTAAAATAATGATTATTTTTTATTTTAAGAAAATATTTTTAATCATTTTTAACTTATTCAAAACTTGAAAGTTGTATGAAATTTAATTGAAGTTCAAATCCAAAAAAGTTATAAATATAGTGAAAATCATGTGAAAATAAATTTAAAAAGTAAATTTTTTTTTAAATTCCATACTATTTTTTATAATATATTTCACACAAATTTCACTATGTTTTACTATGTTTTAAACTCTTTTGACTGTGGCACTACTCCCCCCAGCCATGGAAAAAACAAGAAAGACTTGAAGAAGATTGGGGAAGAAGGAAAAAGAAGACTATAGAAAGGAAGTACCTGGTACTCTCCCTCAAAAAACAACCCTAACAATGACTGGGTTACCGGAAACGACGGCGGAAACGGAGAAAACGGAGACGGAAGATGAGCAGAAAAGCGAGAGAAACAGCGTGCGCAAGAAGCTGAAAGAGCGAAAAGTGAGCAAAGTGAGAAGTGAAGAGGCGCGAGTGAGAGAAAAGAAAGTTTTCTCCCAAAATTCAAAACGGCCATGCCACGTGTCAACCTAAGGGCACGCCTGACAACACAATTAATTGCAAGACCATCATTACATAACCGTCATTTCCCTTAACGCGCCACTTGCACATTTTCGGGAAATGAACAGTCGCGACACGTGGCACCACAACGAGCAGACGTACGCGAAAGGTCACCTCCCCCAAGCGAGCTCGGTCTTAACTCCTCGACCTACGGTCTTCGGAGCTCGGGGGGCTAGTGTACTATCCGTATTGCGAAGCCGAGCTCCGAGCTTGGCACCACAACGCAAGCCGGCCTCAGACGCGCACCGCGTGGCATCAACTTGACATTTAAGTGAATCATAACTGATCCCCGAGGATCTCGCCCCAGACGAGGTCCGTTATCTAATCATATTACATCTTCTCTTAGGCCCAAGGCCCAAAGCAACCCTAAGTCACACCAAGGTACGTGCATTACATATACGAGACATATACTCATACAAACTCTAACTTTAGCATCGGAGTCTCTTTTGCAGGTACCACCCCCATCTTGGAGCACTAGCGTACCAGTGAAGGAGGTTCACCGATCTTATCTAGCGGATCAACTCTACAACAGATTTCTGGTAAGAACAGAATCAAATTTAAAATTAGGATGATCATTCTTTCTCTACATTAAATAGAAATAAAAAAGAATAACTTTTTCATCAATTTTATGTGATTCTTATTTGAATATGAATTTCGGATGTTCATCCAAATATGCTCTTAACTTTTAATAAAATGATAGATAGATTTCTAAATAATATAATTTTTCACTTTTGTTCTTTTTAATCTTTCTAGGTTTTAATATATACAAAATAATCTTTTCAATTATTTATATCACTAAAATGGGAAGCCGACTGGGTCTCTTATTAAAAACTTATTTTTTGTTTAATTTTAAATACTCAAAATTCAAATCGAGAATCTGCTAAATTAAAACAAAGGTCAGTTTGGGATGGCATTAATTAAGTTTCTAGTTTTCAAATTTTATTTTAAAAAAACGTGTTCAGATAAAAAAGTTTCAAAATGATTTTGAGATTGATGTCAAAATCATGATAATTGTTTTTTTTTCTTCTTATTTTGAGTTGTAAAACCAGGTCAGTTGAACTAGTTATGCCAAAATCATGTTTTTATTTATTTATTTATTTATTATTATTATTATTATTATTATTTTATTATATTAATTGTTCAAATTCATATTGTTATGATTACAATTAATATTAAATTATTATTATGATTTAAATTATTACTATTAATTTATTATATCTAAAATTATTATTATTAATGTTATTATTATGGACACGAATATTTTTGAGCTACTGAGGAAGCCTGAAATGCATGATTTTGAACAATCCGGTGAAAAATTATTTAGTACTTGTGGAAAACAAGAGGCTGGCATATTGGTTTACACATCAAGCATGACGATCAGATTAATTAAACACACTAGAATATTTCTGATTGCTACTGAAGTGGCCAGAAATATTTTATCCTTGAGCATACCAACATGCAGTGTGTTCAACAAAACTCAATTCGAGGATATATTGCATGCCAAGCTGTCAAAAGAGATACTATCACATTGTAACGCGATAAACTAATTAATGCATGTTCTAAGAGTGAACATTCATTATCACCAATAATTTTTTTTTTTTACTGGCTTTAATATTGACGAAAGATGAAGTTAGCATTGACCATCATAATAAATACTATCCAAGTACAGAATTATATTCTAAAGGATTTTCTACAGGCAGTTGTCATTTGGTTTTGCTAAATAATCATTAGCTGGAACAGGCCAATGAGTATAATGTAGATCTATCTAAGGTAGAAGTTGTATTTCAAAAAAAAATTGAAGTTTTATAGTAGGTGGGTATATTTCAACCCGGCCCACTTTGACCCGGCCCACCCGGGCTAAACCCGTGGTGGGCCGGGTGGCCCACCAACCCACCATTTTTTTTTCAATAAAAATTTGAATATGATTTGTAGTTTATTTTGTATGATGATATATTGAAAATTTTTATTTTAAACTTTTATCATGATTTGTATTTAATTTTGTATGATGAATTATGACTTATAACTATTAATGATGTTAATTTTATGATTATTATGTTAATTTATAATTAATTTAAAATTTTGAATTTTGTTAATAATTTTTTTTAATTTTTGGTTGGCTGGTGGGCTGGCCCGTATAACCCACCAACCCGTGGTGGGCCGGGCCGGGCCAAATTTTTTTGAAAAAATTACAAGTGGGCCGGGTTGGGTTGGCTCGTTTTTAAAGTGGGTCAAGGTGGGCCGGCCCACATGGGCCGGGTTGGCCCGTTTTGACAGCTCTAATGAGGATGTTGACAACGCGGTTTACTTTGCTTTTATTTGAAGTTACACCCCTTTCGATTTTTTATTATAAGGCATAGCTTAATTTTATTTTTTTTGTAAGATATTTTATAGGTTTTAAGTAGTATTATATTATTATTTTATATATTTATCAAAGATCGTAAAAATATATATTTTTCTCTTTCACTTTTAAATTTTTTTTATTGATATTTATCATTTACGATGATATTAGTTCATAAACTTTTATATTAAATAATATTTTCACTTCTCTCATAAAAATTTAATGATAAATAAAAAGAATAAAATTGATAAATCAAGAAATTTTTTTATAAGTCCAATAAAATTAACTAATATAATTATTTATATTAATATGTGTGATTTAATTAAAAATATTTTACAATAAATATCAAAAAGAGTGTCTATGTTTTGGTGTGTTTCTAATTTATGTGGGTTCATATTTGGTTCATTAGGAAAGTACAAATTAAACTTTTAAGGAGAAAAATATAACACTAAATATAGTTTCTCACTTATCACATGTACACTATCTAAATATATGAAGCTATTATTAGAGTTGTCAAAATAGACCATGATCTGTGAGCCAGTTCGATCCATCACAGATTTGAGCCGAGTTAAACTTAGGCAGATGATAAACACACCTTCACTCTCGTATAGACACACCACCTTTTTAAAAAAAAATATATAAAATGTCTAAGTTACCCTTAAAAAATGAAATTCCTAAATTTACACCCCCTTCCCTGCACCCCCGTTCCCCGCACCTTCGTTCCCCGCACCCCACACCCCCTTCCAGTAGAAAAGATAGCATACTTTGGGAAGAGGGGGTTTTGGTTTCCTTTTGTCCTTCTTTAACCCAGGCTGATAAACCATGCAAGCACCAACGGCTATACTTGTCCTCCCTCTGTGAAAAGGATTAATCGAAAATCGAGAATGAAATAAAAGCGCAAATGATAATCTGAAAGCAACTAATTGAATTGAAAAGAATAGAAACCTGGTGGAAAGGGAACGATTCCAACTGACTCGCTTGTTAGGATCGGCCAAACTAACCCGAGTGGGACAAGGAAGAGTAGGGTCTGAAGGTTGTCTGGAAAAATCAATCAAAAAGGAAATGAGTTAGAGTGAAAGAAATAAGAAAATGGGGAGAAAAAAGAAATAGTATAAGAATGGAGGTACTGGTTGGGATGGTTGCGAGGGTTTCTCCTACTGTAAACGATGCCGATTTGTTGGGGGTGCGGGGAACGGGGGTGTGGGGTGCGGGGAACGGGGTGCGGAGAAGGGGGGTGTAAATTTAGGAATTTCATTTTTTTTAAGGGTAATTTAGACATTTTATATATATTTTTTTAAAAAGGGAGTGTGTTTATACGAGAGTGGAGGTTAGGGATGGCAAATATACCCGTACCCGCAGGTAACACCCGAACCTGTCCCGACTTTGACGGGGAATACCCGGTTTGACCGGGTACGGGTAAAACCCGATATATTAAATCGGGTACGGGTACAGGTACGGGTATGTACTTACCCGCCCCGTACACGTACCCGTACCCGTCCCCGTTCCCATTTTTAATTTAATACCCACTTTCAATTTAATTATATTAAAGAATTTTAATATTTTTTATGTGTAATTATTTATTATAATATGAGATAAAGAAATAACCTAATTATAATTATAATATAATTAAAAAAATAATTTAAAAATATTATTTTTTAAAAAAAATAAAAAATTTGACGGGTACGGGTACGGGTACGGGTATACCCGATACCTGACGGGGACGGGGATGGGGATAAAAATTATATACCCGACGAGTACGGGTACGGGGACGGGGACGGGGATCATGAAACCCGTACCTTCCCCGCCCCGTTGCCATCCCTAGTGGAGGTGTGTTTATCATTTGCCTTAAACTTAAAATAAGTTACAAATTTCAATATTACTAGAAATTCAACCCAACTCACGAGCCCACTAAAAAAAACATACAATTCACTTATGTAAAAAAAAAATTAAAAGCCCATAGCCCACTTAAAAAAAATTAAAAACCCATAATTCACTTATGCATTCAACCAAATGTCACATTGAAAGGATTATTTATTGGATCAAAGACTTGTTTTTGTAGGAGATGTGACACCCTTACTACCCCAACACATATATTGTAATAATATAAATAAACTAAGAAAATCAAATTTTCAAAATAGGTAAAAGGGTTCACATGAAACCTTTAGAAACATTCTTCAATATCCAAAATATTCTAAGAGTGAAACTTGGAAAATAAAACGTAAGAGGTTACAAAATATTTTCAAAATAATAGGTTCAACTCCGTATTCAAATACAATTCATGTCCTATAAATTCACTGCCCCGATGTCACAATATCAGAGCATACCCATAAATCAATTATTGACATTCTAGATGTCACTCATAGCCGGATCTTCCTCACCTAAAATATCCACAAATTGTACGGTGAGAAAATAAAATATCTATATGTAAAACACATAAGAAAAACATAACAGAATCTCATCATTATTCATTAATTAATGAAATATTCACAAGCATTTATATATATATATCATAATTAACAATATCATCTTCACATCTCAATCCACAATTTCATCAATCCATCACAATCCACACAATCTTACACTTCACACTATGCCAAGGTCACGCTACCCATTTAACAATCTCAGGCCGTGCTCACCCCTGATATAACACTGTGCCAAGGTCACGTTATCCCTATCCCAGGGCCGTGCTCACCCCTGACATGTTAACCAAGGTCACGATACCCATGTAACAATCCCGGGCCGTGCTCACCCCTGGTCATAGGTGTGAAGAACCACAATCACATTTCATTCACATTCCACACAACATCTCACAGTTCAATTCCATACCATATACACAACAGGCAAGTCCAACAAAATAAGGGTTTACACACCTTTCGAGCAATTTACATCTAGATCATCAATTCTTATCAAATAATATACCAATAACATTCATAAATTAATATTATAAATAATGGAATTATCAATTTAATATAACTTTAACATAAACAATAAAACCCCCAATTCTTTCAAAACCTAACTCACATGCACTTTTCTACAGTTTCGTTCTCCCTCTCAGATCATCATTCTTATAAATTAAATATATATTTCTAATCCTCAACACATACAGAATCTAATAAGACCAGTAATTCTCCAAACAGAAATTGCTCATAATCCTAAAGGATTCTTCCTCTACCCAATTCCCTCATGTAACTCTACATATAAATAATTCTCTTTTTCTCCCGTACCTGGATAAGCAGTAGTTGAAACTACAACAGGGATCTCTTGGTCTCCTCCTCTAAGTGCCCCATGGTCTTCAGAGAGAAGAAGAGGGGAAGAAGAAAGAGCAGAAGAGAATAGGAAGAGAAAATGAGAGATGTGTGAAAATGAGAGGTGAGGGGCGCTATTTATAGGATTTCAGGCTCACCTACCGGAACGGCCCGTTCCAAAAGTGGAACGCCCGTTCTGGACCCTTCAAATCTACGCAAATTTTTGAACTGGAACGGCTCGTTCCAAAACCAGAACGGCCCGTTCCCAATCCCAGCAGAACGACCCGTTCTCCCTCCGGAACAGCCCGTTCTGCTTCTCAAATTTTGGGCCTTTAACTTATTCCAGAACGGCCCGTTTCACTTTTGAAACGGCCCGTTCTGGGCAACGAATTGGGCCTACGGCCCATTGAAAATTGGGTTGTTGCAGGAGAAAAGGAAAAGAAATTAGAAGAAAAAAAATTTATGTGGTTGATATTAGAAAAACAACAATTTAAAAAAAATAGATTTGATTGAACAGATATTTAAAAAAAAATTAAAATATGGCTGAACATTAGAAGAAAAAATATATTTTTTTAAAATTTTTTTAAAATTAAGTGAACTAATCCGTTTAACCCATCGACCTGTGATAAGTCAGGTTGGGCTCATTTCTTGTTAGTTGATTAGAAGGTAAACCGGATTAGATTGATCCACTTATTGGCCAATCCGTGATGGCACAGGTCAGGTGACCTGTTTTGATAACTCTATCTATCATACAATTTATAAAAGTTTAAATTATATTTTTGGATTCTTTATCTTATTTTTTAATTCAACTTGATTTTTTATCTTTAAAATTTTTATTTTGATCATTTATCTCCTAATTTGAGTCAATTTGATCATGTTAAAATAATGATTATTTTTTATTTTAAGAAAATATTTTTAATCATTTTTAACTTATTCAAAACTTGAAAGTTGTATGAAATTTAATTGAAGTTCAAATCCAAAAAAGTTATAAATATAGTGAAAATCATGTGAAAATAAATTTAAAAAGTAAATTTTTTTTTAAATTCCATACTATTTTTTATAATATATTTCACACAAATTTCACTATGTTTTACTATGTTTTAAACTCTTTTGACTGTAAATGACAATTAAAGTTCATAGTTTTGATACAAGTGAATCTATGATTACATTTTTTACATCTTGAATCAACTAAAAATTGATTAAAGATCATATAAAAAATATAAGAAAATATCATTATTTTAAAAATATCAAATTTATCTAAATATAAAAATAAATAAATGACCGAAAATCAACATTTAATAGATAAAAGACAAAGTGAATAATAAATAAAATAAAAGATAAAAATATAATTTAATTTTTAAAAGATTAAAATTATGTTTTAATTTTGGCTTAATTGCATTTTTTATCCTTTAAGTATTGTAATTGTGCAATTTTGATCCCCAAAGTTTTAATTGGGTAATTTTAGTCCCTAAAGGATTGCAATTGTGGGATTTCGGTCCTTCAATTTTTTAATTGAATAATTTTAGTCTCTCAAATATCATAATTGTGCAATTTTAGTCTCTTCCATTAAAAATTTAATAATTTTAATATATATATATA